ATTTCAACAATCACCACATGGGTTGTGGTAGGCAGCTCATCTCTGCTTCCTACTGGGTTTCTATATATATTTTATCGTTCAGGAATACATATACACTTCGAGAATAAATGGATGGTAGTAGGTTTAACGTGGAGGAATAATTTTAAAGTAGTCAATTAACAGAGGACTTTCTGTAAAGAGCTTGGAGTAGTGTATTTCAAGCGTCTGACACTTGCGTACTGGTCTCAACACAATATGTGTTTTCGGTAGCACGCTAAACGATTGAAAAAAGGTTCTCGTAAATGAAAAAATCTAGTTAAAAAAAAATCATAAAACCGTTTCTACAAATAAAAATTTCCTCCCTATGGTTTTCAACGATAATGCCTCTTCTCCATCTTGATGCACCATGTACACTACTATCTCACTTAGACGACATCAACACTACACTTACCACATCTTTCCACGCCAATGGCCTCTTTGGACAACGTCACACACCTCTCTGATGATGTGGTAGCTGACTTTGGTGGAATGGGCTCTCAAACGCTCATCGAAAAACTACAAACCAAGGACTTGAGCCGAAATGAGGCCGACGACTTAGCTAGTGAAATCTTTACAGAAATTCTTCTATGTCACGACAACGGCCAATTGGCGAACGATGCAATCATCCAATTTTTATCAAGCGCAATAAACGACGAGGAGAAGGCTGCTATTTTCTGCCAGGCGCTTGACATCTTCCCTGTGTCAGAATCTTTGCAGGCCCTCATAGATGAACTCAAGAAAACAGAGGTAATACAAGCGAAAACATTCGCTGAGAATGTCGATACTTCACTTTTAACGTCACTGGAGTTTGTTCCTGCTCAATCACTCAATCGTCAATTGAACACTCGAAAAAGAGATATGTTCTACACCCAAAGGAAGTTCAATCTTTTCTATGAAGAGTTCGAGGGGTATGCCAAATTGGTGCAAGAGCTTTTTAGACTACTTAAAACGCCAAAGAACTTGGGTTTTGTTGACCTTGCCTTACGTGCCACGGAATCTCTTATTGGACACTACCAACTAGACCCAAACAGGGTTCTTGATGTGGTACTAGATGTCTTCAGTCATCTTATCGTCGGAAATCAAACCTTTGTTGTGAAGTATCTCAGACAATCCCGCTGGTGGCCTTTTGCTCCTGCCACTGCCTTCAATGGAATCGATGCTCTCAACAAAGGAGGTAGTGAAACTGCTTCCAAACTCCTTGCACTCAAGTTCACAAAGGCAAAGCCGGATAAGGACCTTTCAGAAACTCTAAAGATCTTGATCGCCATTCTCATAAGAGAAGGGTTTGTCAGTTTTGGGTCAATCTACAAGTTTCTTCGACCTGACGATGAAGAAATGCAGTCACTCGAGCAACTATATAAAAAAGAGCTTGATGAGCAAGTGTTCAAGTCGAACGCTAGTGCTCTAGCATTGGCTGCTCCATTGGCCGACGAAGACGAAGATGGAAAAACCACCAATGGCTCAACGAAAGATACAACAGAGACTGCCAGGGACACACTTGCTAACCGTCTTCCGCTCAACACTAAATTTCAATTCTTGAAAACCTTCCTAGGAACTGGCTTGTACTGGCCTTCTGTCTTCATTCTTGCGGAGTATCCTTTCCTTGTTCATGTTGACCCTGAGGTTCCGGAATTGATGCTCCGCATGATTGACCAAATTATTGAGCCGTTACATTCAAAAACAATTAAAGATCTCGCCCTTGCAGATGCATTACAGACACCAAGGCAACAAGCTCTGTCGAACCATATGGCAGGAATTAAGTACACTAAAATCACTCCTGCTCAACTATACTGCTTCAAACCAACTGCCCATATGCAAAGCAATAAGGAGCTTGTGTACTTTTACTCAGAGTGGGTGAATGATCTCCCAAAAGTGGAAAATTTTGACGACCTTCTCGAGTTGTCACAACAATATTTGAAATTTTTGGGTACAAAACTATCTGGCAACTTAGCAGTATTTTCCAAGCTTTGTGACTTACTCGCCTATTTTCACGAAGAGACTCTTCCCTCAGAAAACAGAGAAGCATACTTGAACTATTTCCGGAATTTCATCTTTCCAGCAATGACAGGGATTGAAGACAATCCTGTTCCTATTGCCAAGGCTTTCCATTTTCTCCAGCTCTATCCCGTTGAAGATAGATTCAATTTGTATGGAGAGTTATATCAGGTACTCGCAAAGAATAATCCGCATGTCAAAATTAATTACGGAAAGGCGGAGAAAGCCACAAAGGACACTTTGAAGAGAATTTCCAAGGAGAATGTCAAGCCAATGATGAGGAGGCTTGCGAAGATCAGTTTTGTAAACCCTTTGCCTTGCTTCCTCACAATGCTTCAGCAAATTGAAAGTTATGATAATCTCAATGCCTTGGTTGTCGATACTGCTCAATACTTCAATGAGTACGGCTGGGACAACATGACATTGGCTATACTTATGAGATTGACCTCTCTCGGGCGAAGCAACATTCAACAAGATGGCCTACATGAGCGCCAGTGGATTCAGTCATTGGCGTCATTTATTGGTCAGATTTGTCACAAGTATCCAAAGTCCGTTGACTTAGAGACTATAACCAAGTACTTGGTCAAGTCATTTCACTTAAAGGAAAGTTCAGGACTACTTGTATTCAAAGAAATTCTCGCACTTACAGGTGGAATGAAACCTATCAATAATCTCACGCCTCTTCAAATTGACATGATTAATAGCGGTCAATCATTGGAGAAGCTTGTCTACCAGACCATTGACGATAGGAGATTTGAGAGCGTTGAGGCTGGGTCAACTCTTGCAAATGTCTTCCTAGAGCTCGATTTAATCAATGAGATCTTAGCGCTTTTGTCCAACCTTGTCAAAGTGGTTGTTTCGGGTGAAGAATATGCTCATCTCAAAGTTTTGGCAAACAGAAATGACGACATCAATACAGTGATGCACTTCTTCTGTACGCTCATTGGCTTCTTTGGCAGTGAGAATATCCCAGGCAACCTTGAGTCGATAACAACGTTGGTAGAGAAATATGGCGTCTCGATACCTTGGGCTTTTGAGCTCTGGAGACCTTTCCTTACAGACACAGAAATCCTAGGTGACATTGGTGAGCAATTTACCAGAGGAGTATCTTCCTCCCTCTTCACGACTTTCTGGAGCTTGAAGTTGTTTGACATTAACTTCAATCCTGAAATTTATGACTCTCAGGTTTCGAAGCTAACAGCCAATGACACGAGTCTAAGGGAGAATTTGTTACTCGCCAAAAAGGATCGTACGACACCTCAAGAAGTTCTCAAGCGTTTTGTGGCTGATATCAGAAAGACGGAAGATTTCAAGACCAAAATACCATCTGAAAAAGAAGCGCACGAGGCACATGCCAAAGAGGTGACGGATTCGCTTTCACAACATTGCGAAGCCTGGTTCTCGACTGATTCATCTGAAGAAATAGAAAATGAGTCGAGAGCTTTCTTGCAAGAGTGTGTTCTTCCACGTTGTGTTCATTCGTCATATGATGCTGTCTTCAGTGCCAGATTTCTTTTCAAGCTACACGAGCTTGGTCACAACCAATATTCGATCATTACTCTGTTGACCCAAATATTCCACTCGCAAATTACTTTTGCAACGCTTTTTACTTGCACGCCGTCAGAAGCAGAGTGTTTGGGATTGTTTTATTCTGAGATATTGAAGATCTTGGCAGTTTGGCACACGGAAGAGGGTTTCGAAAAGCTTACTTCCTCAGCACCTTTGAAGAGTAATGGCGAACAGATATCATTCAAGGAATACCGCAGATTCTTGTTCGATCTTCACTCTGCATTACTTCTGGACGTCTCGCGGTCGTTGGCTTCTGAAGAGTACATGTGTCGTCGAAACGCCATCACCTTGATGAAAAATCTACTTGGTGTGTATCCTAACGTGGAGGACCATTGTGAAGCTATCACAGAGCTCATCGAGAACATCGTTGCCAATGAAGAGCGTGAGGATCTTAAGTTGTCTTCAAGTGCTTTGATAGGTCATGTCAAGTCACGAGCAAAGACGTGGGTTCACATGTGGGATTTCTTCGAGATGGAAGAAGAGGACGAACAGCAACAGATTGACAAACGCAAAGCTATAGAGGAGGAGGCTGCAAGGATTCGCGAAGAGAAGAGGAAAAAGAGAGAAGAGGAAGAGAAGAGAGCTAAGGAAGAAGAGGAGCGGAGGCTTCGGGAGGAGGAAGAAAGAAGAAGAAAGGAGGAGGAAGAAGAACGGAGAAAGATCGAGGAAGAGAAAGCTGAACAGCAGAGAGAGGCGTCCGCAAAGGCTCTCAAGTATGAAGACGGTGGTGCTGCACCAGCACGCCAAACTCGTAACGAAGAAGTTTCAAGGGGTCGTTACGATCAATACTCAAGAGCCTCTCCTCGTCCGGCTACACCAGTGCATACAGCGGACAAATCGAAGGACAAGCCTCCACAGGTTAAGGAAGAGAAGGCTAAAACAGAAGATGTGTCTAATCAAGCGAAATCCTCAGACAAGGCTGCATCCAACCAGGATCTTTTCAAAAACAAGAACAGGCCGTCAGGTCCAGCTAGATCCTCTGACCGCAGGGCTTCACCAGTCAAGGATAGCGAGAAGGATCTCAAAGAAAAGCCTGCTCCGCAAGAAAATGCTCGAACGAGATTTGCTAATCAGAAGTTGCCAAGCTCTTCTGATGCAAGAACTACTCAAAGAAAACCACTTCCACCTCAGCAGGTGCCTCGTCATTCGAGGTACAATCACGGTCAGCAGGGACGTCGTGATGACAGAGGACCCAAGAGAGACTCGGCTCCTTCGAAAAGTCAGAATCGTGTCGAATCTAGATCCAACACTGCAACGCCATTACCGCCGCCAGCAACTCCTCCTCCACCTCCTCCTACAGCTCCTCCAAAAAGGGAAAACTCTGACAGGGGGGATAGAAAGAGAGAATGGAGAGGCTCTCACAGAAATGAGAAAAGGTCTAGATATTAGATCATTTGATATAGTACATAGTGTGTTAATTAAATACCTTGCATCTGTTCCGCTATGAGCATGTCGAGCTCATTTTGCCTTTCATCGATTTCCTCGGCCAAAGAGCTATCAGAATCAGATACGTTCTCTTGTGCTGATTCATCGTCTATTAGATCCGACTCATCCAAGTCAGAGAAATGATCCAGATTTTCTTCGACCTCATCGAAATCTTCTGCCAACTGCTCTTCCATTTCCAACTCAAGTAATTTCTTTTCCGCCCGTTCCCGTTCCTTTTCATGTTTTTCCAAGTGTTTTTCATACGCGTGTTTCCTCTCGAACAATCTGCCACATCCTGATCGAGGACATTTATACTTTTCTTTAAAATTGCCCAGCATTAAGCTGATAATTGAGGCGCCACTCAATTGCCCAACATCAATAGCAGCCTCCTTCACCTTTTTGTCGATGGGGGTGCTTTCAATCTTATCATGAGACCCATTAGCATCACCCTTCGATACCTCATTTTCCACCGTTGGAGGCACCTTGTCATTATTCATTGCCAGCGTGGAATCAGAATCCGCTGAACTATTCGGCTTCAGGTGTTCCTTTCTGATGTGGTCTTTGAGGCTTCTCTCGGCCACAAAAGTAGAGAAGCAGCCTGGGTGAGTGCAAGTGAAGGTTTGTCCTTCCCCATGTTCTTTTAGCTTATGCTTTGCGAGTAATACCTTGTTCTGAAACCTTCTATTGCAAACATCACAGACTGTAACTTTTTCGTGTACTGACTCAATGTGATGCTTGTATGATATGTGGTGGTAGAAGGCTTCATCGCAGCCATCATAGGGACATTTATGTTTCTTTGTGTGAGTGAGCTCGTGTCTTCGTAGCCTCTGGGCGTCAATGACTCCCTTTCCACATATTTTACACTGAAACCTCATCTCACTGTCCTTTTGGTGGCTGCATTTGTGAACTTCAAGATGTGACTTCCTGAAGAAAGCCTTATCGCATCCTTCAAAATCGCAAGCGAACGGTCTGTCGTTGCTGTGTGTGCGTTCGTGTTGTTTGAGAAGCGCTGGTCGCAGATATCGTTTATCGCAGCCATCAAACAGACATGCGTACTTCTTAGGCCTCGGCTTAGCCGTCATGGCTCATGTTGTAGTAAGATGTTGATGTTTGAGGTTCGCGATAGTGATGAGCCTTGCACTAAAATGGCTCTATCTCCGTCAAAATTGGGTGCGAAACACTGAAATTACCACCAATGGAATCAGAAAATCAATCTACAAACACTGAGACTATTTTTGGCAGCTTTTAAAAAAGTCGTATTACTGCCTTTCATATTAAACCTGCGTTGTAGTGTAAATAAGAAATCCGAGATAGTTTAGTGGCTAGAATTACCGCTTGTCGCGTGGTAGACCGGGGTTCAATTTCCCGTCTCGGAGCATTTTCTTGCGCAAGTGGTTTAGTGGTAAAATCCAACGTTGCCATCGTTGGGCCCCCGGTTCGATTCCGGGCTTGCGCATTTTTTTTGCATTTTTGCCCCATATTTTTTACCAACCGTTTATTTTATCAATTAATTTGCCAGAAAGACTTGCTAAAGTGGCTCAATCACTAAGAGCATTTCTCGAAGTACAGGAGGCTAATTTAGATCTGGCCCCCTGCAGTATGTTTACATTTAAGAGGTCACTCCATACTTGATTGCTGGCAACTCGAACCATTAAGAAACGGTTCCAAAAATACCAAGGCAATCTTCATCTAAATTTGCGTAAAATCTTAACGGTTGCAAAATGTCGTGTACCGTTTGTCTCGCCCCGGATAAATTTAGGTACGGATCCACATTTGGCCAGAATTGGCAGGTGCGACATTGCACCGAGCTTTTGTAAACACTAGGCAAAGAAAAATGTCTGCCATTTTTAGAACTTGTCACACAACTACTATCATATCTCCTTGAGACTCCACACCCCACGTTTCCTTTTACGAATCAAATAGATTTATATTAAAAAAAACAATCCCACAGAGTCAAAGCACAAAAACATCGTCAAAAGTCTTAACTCAGCCCCCAATCCACATGTCATTCGTCACCTCAACAATTATGGGTAGCATCACCCAGTTCAAAAGGGACGATATGCCTTCAGCAACTACTGGAGATGATGGTTCTGAGACCGGTATGCCTTCTGCTGATACTGGAATGCCCAGTATCTCATCTTCAAGTGAACTGATTTCTACTCCTTCAGTGACAGTTCCTGCCAATAACCATAACCCATATATTTATAGAGAAAGCCGTCTCACTGGTACAGTTTTCATTGCTGTTGGCAGTGTCGTGGGCGCTATCATCCTTGCATTCGTCTTGTTCCATCTTATTCGTTCCATTCGTGCTTCCATGCAAGCGAAGAAGTCTTCCAGTGGCGAGAAGAGCATGTACGAAAACTACAACCGTAACAGGTTGTATAGCAACTCCATTGGTCTGTCCAGTACAAATTTCCTAAATACAGAGTACCAGGGTTCGGTGGCCAAGATTCCGCTCATGTCATCCAAGTCTCTATACGATGGCTCTCAGGCCGGCGACACATCCACTTTACACATGGGTGAATCACAATACGCCACATCGCATCATGACCTCACCAATATGTTTATTTCGCCTACGAAGGAGGTGATGTCGCATAGCAGGACCAAGTCTCAGCCCAACATTCTTGCTGGAAGCTCCATGTCGTTAAGAAATGAGCCATCCCCAGCTATCAACAGGCACTCACAACTCATCCCAAATATGTATTTGAGTCCTGCGGTGAACAACAGTGAGTATTCGTTGCTGGAGCACGCCGCAGGCATGTCGGGCAAATCGTCCTCCAACTCGCCTGAAAATAGCCCTAGGGGTAGACAGAAGAAGAAGACTGTACCAAGCATGTACTTGGACGACCTTATTGATAAATAGTGTTAAGAAAAATGCATATCGGTTACAACATGTTTGTAGATACAGTTCGCACTGAGTCATGTTGATGCTATATTCTTTTGCGATAAGAAGGTTTGGCACCTGCTCCAGGAGGCTAACAAAAATCGATTGGCGAAAAGAATTTGAGTCTTTACACATTGATGATGTGAAACCCCTTCCGAAACTCCGAACGGTGGAAATTTCAGCTCAGGTCATCAAGCCCACCAGAGGCATTGAGATCAACCAGAACAAGTCACCATTGATCCTCATACACGGTCTTTTCGGGGCAAAGCAAAACTATGCTTCAGTTGGAAAGCAGATTTCTTCGCTAACGCAACGAGAAGTAATTGGTCTAGATATGAGAAACCATGGCGCATCACCTCACGCTGCTCCTCATACCTACATGGCAATGGCCAGGGACACCATTGAGTACCTCGAGAAGCACATTAAAGTTCCAGTTGCTCTAGCTGGTCACCTGATGGGTGCTAAAGTGTCAATGCTTGTCGCCTTGCTTCGTCCTGAGCTTATTGAGAAACTTGTGGTCATTGACAACAGTCCTGCTTCAGAAACACTAGACCAGCAGTTTTATAGAGATCTTTTGGGCTTATGTCACCTCGAGCGTGATAAGAGCTTGCCAGGTTTACCTAAGACGGCGTTGCATGCCAAGATGGACAAAATCTTGTTGAAGTATGAGAAGGACAAGTTGGTCAGACTCTTTCTCATGTCAAACTTATGCAAGAGGACTACAAAGCATGATACGCTGCCGATCAAGTTTAGAGTGCCAGTTTTGAACTTCTTGAAGGACGATGTGCTTAGAGAATTGGGAATGTGGCCAGAGGACGTGAAGGGGAAAAAGTGCCACGGTCCAGTGAAAGTTATGAAAGCAGCAGAGTCAAACTTTATCCAGGAGCACAACATTTTGGAAGACTTCCCCCGTTACTTCGATAGTTTTGATGTTTCGGTCTATGAGTGTGGACACTGGTTAGTGAGCGAGAAACCGGAACAGTTCGTGAAGGAGATGGTTGACTTTTTGGATGGTTCTTCACCTGCCCAATGATTGAGACCTCTAGTTTCTTCCATTTGCAGAGCATAGATGTTAAACATACAGCATAGTTCCATGTCGAGTCAGAGGCACGGGCAGACTTGCATTAAATCGATTTACAGCAGCTATAATGCTCACATATAGATGATGCGTCGTGAAATCCTCGATGACTGCATTAGCTTTCCTAACTGAAACATGGGGGTTCTCATTCAAGCGTACGGGATGAGCATGAGCACGCGATTACATAATCAGCTCTCAACACAATATGTGTATATAAAGAGGAGGCCTGCGCATTTTCTCAAAGGCTCAGTCTCTTAAGTTGCACCCAAACTAACGTTAATCTAAAACAAAAAGACGCCCATATAACATCAAAAAAAATGTCGGACTTTGCGCCTACGTCATCCTCGCCGGGAGAGGACTTGTCGTTGCCAAAGGCAACTGTTCAGAAAATTGTGAGCGAGATTTTGCCTAAAGACATTGCCATCTCCAAAGAGGCTAGAGAAGCCATCACGGAGTGCAGCATAGAATTCATCATGATATTATCCACGCAGCTGAACGATATAGCTGAGAAAGAGGCCAAAAAGACAATAGCTAGTGACCATGTTATCAAAGCTTTGGAGGAGTTGGGCTTCCACAACTATCTCGATATCATCAACAAGGTGTTGGACGAGCACAAGGAATTGCTCAAGGGAAAGGAGAAGAAGAACAACAAGTTCCTTAACTCTGGATTGACAGAGGAGGAGCTCTTGAAGCAACAAGAGGAATTGTTCAAGAAGTCTAGGGACCGCTTGCAAGGCAGTGGATCCCCCGGAGCACAGGAGATCAAGCAGGAAAACTGATGACATTGGGAATGTAGTAATGAGTGAAGCCTTCTAAACAGCAGGCTTGTGTATATTAGATCAGAGCAAAGACGTTCGCTGGAGTTTGAAATGTATATTACATGGTATCTATGGTACATAATGCGTAGGGTATGCTGGGCGAATTAACCTAAAATCAACTCGTATAGGATGATCAAGACATTAACGGCAATAAGCGGAAGTCTCAACAATGTTCTTATGGCGCTGATCAAAGTAATGAGTCTATTTTTGATGGACGTGTCTGCGTTAGCTTGCATTCCGTATTGTTGCTGGAACTGATTGGGAGCAGCGCTACCCCAACCAATTCTATTGAGGAACCTGTCTTCACTGAGAACAGCTATACCGTTGACACTGAGCACAATGACATAGAATAATTTGCCCAAGCCGAACATCGTGGGTTATAACTTAAAAAAGGTCAAGTGTTGATTTTGGTGAGGTGAGGAATCCGTACACCCGTACAGGGCCTTTGCCGCTGGTGTTGGACTTGAACCTCGAACTATGAAGCAGAAAAGGACATTCTATGATTGCTTTGAAAAGCTTCATTCCGAGTGGTTTGCGATTCTCATCGCTGAATAAAGTAAGTAGGGCTAAAAGCATCGACTTGTGGCACAGTTCTTACAACTGCCGAGGTGCGACTCCCTATTACCTTCCACGGCTGCAAATTGTGGATGTATGGCTCTGTAATCGCATATTTCGTTTTTTGCTTCAGTGGTTGATTGCTGTGTAAAAAGGTTGGAA